GGATTTCCACTCACCTCCTGTTTGGCTATGGGACAGGAAGAGAAGGGAAATCTCCACAATGGGATAGTAATTTCAAAAGTTATTTTCAATATGTTTAAATCTGCAGCTTTCAACTAAATAATACCTGGTGATCTTGCGATGAAAGTCCTCATTTAGGCACTTCCTTCCACACTCTGTTCCTGTCTCCCAATTGTGCTACTGCATCCAACATGCCTTTTGCAGGCATGGTCCCCTGTTGTAACTATCAGGAAATTCTCCCAGCCATGGAGTGCATGCAGACAGAAAGAGGCTGCAAAAAGGTTGCAGGAGATCATCGTCATCAATATGAAAACAAGTACTCTTGTACTTTCTAGAGAGCATTTGACAGGCTGCTTTAACTCCTTGAAGTCCACACTAGAGCGCCACAACCACATTGCAGTGAGCCCACATTCAATTGTATAGGGTGCATTCAGAAGTTGGTACTACTCACTAAATGCAACAGCGTTTCATTCACTGCCTGGGACCTACTACAGTAACATTGACATTTACAAAGAAAAAACTGAAAGCTCGTATCTGCTAAGTAAACAAAGCAAATGGGGATTCCACCCATCTACAGTATATGAGACTCATCTTAGATGAGGGTCCTATATGTTAATGGGGAACACCACAAAAAAAAAATTGGACCTTCCCTCTAAATCATACTAGGTTGTTCAGATCTAGTATGGATTTAAATCCCACACAAAAATCAAGAAAAAAAGGCAAAATCTATACCAGACCCTTATTTGAGCATGCAGCCTGGCAGGCCAGAAAAGAGTTTGACGAGTGTCACCCCCTCCTGAACCATACAAGGCCTCATACCCTTAACATTATTGATTCACATGAAAGGGACTGGTATCCAGAGGACTCCTTATTGTTAACGGAGGATTCCTGATTCCCATAAGCTTCACCTTCACCAGAGTAAAACAGAAAAAAATCACCGCAGCTAATGGGCAAATATTGGAATCAGAAGGAATAGATGGTTTTCTTTACTGTCCTATTTCCCAGAGTGTCACTAGAAAGATACCTGTGAAAAATGTCCTGTATGTCTCTGCTCCTGAAACAAATCTTTTGTCAGAGAAGAAGCTCACAAAACAAGGCAATGTAGTGATCTTCCAAAATGCCAGTTGTACCATCACAAATGGGGATTTCTTAATTGCAAATGCTAAAATTGAGGCAATTAATACTGCCAAGGAGGAAAAACATTCAAACTGCATTCACACATGGCACAGAAGTTCTGAAATAATAAAGAAATTAACTGAGGATGACTATGCAAGTGGAATAAAAATTAGTCCATGTGATCAAACAATGAAATGCACAAGGTGTATAAAAAGAAAAATGACAAGAAAAAGCAAAGTAACAGCAGAGCTAAGAAACCTCTGGACTTAATTAAATCAGATCTTAGTGGTCCAATGGAAAAACTGACTCCAGGAAAGAAGAGGTATTTTCTCACTTTTATAGATGAGTACTCCCGATATACTACATTATATCTGTTAAACAACAGAGGTGAAGTAGCAAAGAAACTTGGACAGCATTTGGCTCAAGTAAGCAACACATTTGGCAAAATGCTGAGTGTATTGCACACAGACAATGGGACTGAATATACAGGTGATAGCACACAAGCAATTCTCAGAAAGCATGGTATATTATTTCAAACTACTGTACCATACAACCCAGAACAAAATGGGGTTGCAGAAAGAATGAACCATACTCTATGTGAGAGTGGAAGAACCATGCTGTTTGATATGCCAGCCACATACTGGGGGTTAGGCAATTATGACACCATGCTATCTCCAAAATTGACTACCAGGAAAAGCAAACGAGCAAACTCAATATAAACTGTGGAATGGAAAGATCCCACATTTGAACCAAAATTTTTTGGGAGCAAAGCCTATGTTCACATCCAAAAAGAAAAACATAGAAAATGAGATGCTTGCACAAAGGACGGTGTACTTGTGGGGTACAGTGATTCTCAAAAGGGACACAGAATTTTACATCAAGACACAAGCAAGGTAACCATCAGTAGAAGTGCAATTGTTGTGTTAAAAATTTCATGAACTAACTCAAATGCTTTAAACTGTGGGAAATTCCACATCAGTGTCACATGAAGATAGGCAACAAAGTGACACAGAAATAGAAATGAATGCAGGCAATTTAACCACCTCAAGTCCTGCCGTTTACATACAACGGCCGAATGGGAGGTAGTTAAATTGCCTGCATTCATTTCTATTTCTGTGGCAGTGCCGTTTATGAACGCCCCCCCCCCCCACTTGTGCGCGTTCCCTGGGAGCGCACAGCACCGCGTTCAGGTGCCCACTGTGTGGAACACCGATCATCATACGGGAACTCTATGCGAGGTCCCGATCATGTGATCACTGACTACATGTGAAATCTGTGAATGATCACAGAGGTCACATGGTACAAGGCTAGTCACAACAGCCTTGTACCATGTGACAAGCTGTGACCAATCACAGCTCACACAGTAGTTCTCAATGGCTGCAAGAATGCAGCCAGAGAGAATGAGAAATGATTGCTTTTACAGCCTTTATGGGTGTAAAAGCAATCAGTGCAAAAAAAATCTTCATCACCCCCCACAAGTAGTACAGTGTCACCATGGTGACACTGTACTGCTAGAGTGACAGTATGTAAAAAAAAAAATAATATGAAAATGTAAAAAAAAGTTTAAAAATTTAAATTTTTGGATATAAACTAATTTGGGTTATTTTTTTTTTTTTTTACTTAAAAGATAACGGAATACATTTTGGCCAAGATTTATGATGAAATATTATTTATTTGCAAAAGTTTATAAGAAAAACATTTTTTTTCAAAATGTTTGGACTTTTTCATTTACATAGCAAAAAAAAAAAAAATAAAATCCCAGTGGTGAATAAATACCACTAAAATAAAGCTTTATCTGTCTCAAAAAAATGCCAAAAAATTCATATGGGTACAGTGTTGCATGACCGCGCAATTGGCATTCAAAGTGTGATAGCACTAAAAGCTGAAAATTGGTCTGGATAGGAAGGGGGTGACTTGAAGTAGTTAAATACTGTAAAAGAAGGTCTTTCATAGATTACAACAACACATATCCAAATATGGTAGCTCTGGAACCTTGAATTTACTTGAAAAGGACATGGCATAAGCCAGGATTTCTCTTTGCATATGAAACATGCTTAATACAATAACTTTTATAAGTAATCTTCAGTAATTTACGCTATAAAACAGTCTATAACACATAATACAGACACATAATGCATCTAAAAAGTTACTGTCTTCCACATAACATTATGGAGACAAGCTATAAACAAGTTATTGTGGTGGGAGAAAGTCAATGTAGGTTTATATGCTTATTCATTGAATAAAACAGTTTACATATTTTTTATGGATGTACTGTATACATCTACCTGTGGCTTTATGCTGGTTATATAAATACCAAAACAGACATGTTCGAGTTAATTAATAAAGTTTTGGATGGCTCTAATATGTGGAAAGGTTGCTTTTAATTGGCCATATTAAAATATGTTCTAGCACAGTTACTAGTCAACTCATAATAATGTCTTTGTAACTTAGAAGCCACCCAGCATTACTCACAAGGAATGCAGACAGTGCTTTTAGCATTATCAACCACAGCCATCTCCCAGATGCATAGTGCAGTACAGGGTAATCAGAGTGCAACACCTAGTGGGTAAAGTAAATATTGTAGAATTTCTGGGACTTCTTAGCAAGGAACATAACGTGGAAGCATGCCTATTGGCCATCATTTGTTTTACAGCATGGTGCTTGTTGATAAATGTCAAGCAAATGAGGAAGGACTAAACTATTGATGGGTTTTTACTACTCAGGGGGCCACACTTTATGTCCTACTGACAATACTTTCACCAGACAGGAATTAAGGCAACGTCTGCAACAGGGACAGAAATAAACATCTGGCAGGGGTTCTACCCTTCCCTTACTCTACTAAAGAAAATTTTTTTATATTTCTTCATTGCTTTTGAAGAGTTCCCTTCACTTCCTGTCTGGTAAAACGTTGGGAGCAGAACAGGAAATTAGGTTTCAACCCTTTTGAGAGGCACGGTGACTGCAAGAACACACTCCACCAATAGACTAGGCCAGGGGTGGACTGACCATTTGGAAACTCTGGCACTGCCTGAAGGCCTGGGGTCAGTAGGGGGCCCCATGAGATGCCCCTGGTACCTTTTTAATAGGCTTTTTTGAGTTTAGGCAAGGACACAGGGGCCCCATGATCTCCTATTGCCCGGGGCCCCATGAGTTGTCAGTTCACCCCTGGACTAGCCACATTCTTGTAAGATTTCAAGTGCACAGGTATCCTAGGATGACCTTCCCCAGTCAGTTGCTGATTTTAGGAGAATGTCTCCACCTGAAAAATGTCCCTGCTTTAAGAGTGGCAAGCCTGCTTTAAAGCAGAACTCCAGTTAAAATTTGTATTTTCCCATGCAGTGGGGCTATGCCCGCACTGCATGGGTTTACTGCTTGTTTTGTGCAGGGCTCATGGTAAAGCTATACTTACCCCATCCTCCAATCCTTTGGAAAACTGTGCTCCCCCTCGTCCAGCCGTAGAATGTTCCTGCCATCCTCACGTCTGGAGCCAGCCTATGTATATGACGATGTCAGGAACATCCCATTGACAAGACCGCTAGCATGCGAGGAGGCAGGAGTGATGGGGACCAGTCTTGTACTCGGAAGATGGACAGATTAGGTAAGTATATCGCTGCTTACCGAACCCCTAGACCAGGGGTATTTAATTAAAATTCAAGGAGGTCCAGTCACTAAAAATATTTTCTGGCCGTGGTCTGTAAATAAATGTTCCTATTAGTGTTCCCCCTTACATCAGGTTCCCCCTCCAGAGTAATTTATTACATTGGGCGCCACCATCAGACTTCCCCCATAAATCAGTTGCCACTGTCAATGTACCCCCCTATATCAGGCGTCCCATCAGAGTGGCCCCTTAATTAATGTGTTCCCATCAGAGTTCCCCCATATATCAGGCATTTCCATCAGACCTCCCCCTTACATTAGGCATTCCAATCAGACTGCCCCCTTACATCAGGCATTCCCATCAGAGTGCACCTTACATCAGGTTTCTGCATCAGAAGGCCCCCTTACATTTGGTGCCTCGCATTAGTGTGCCCCTTTACATCAGTTGTCCCTATTAGAGTGGCCCATTATATAAGGTTCCCCCATCACGGTGACACTTTACATAGGGAGTGCCCATCAGCGTGCCCCCTTACATTAGGTGTCGCCATCAGAGTACTCCTTTACATCAGTTGTCCCCATCAGAGTGCCCCTTTACATCAGGTATATCCCTATTACAGTGCCATTTTACATCAGGTATTTCCATCCACTCAAAGTACCCCTTTCCATCATATTTCCCCATCAGTGTACCCTTTACATAATATTCCCCATCAGAGTGCCTCTTTCCATCACATGTGCCCATCAGACTGCCCCTTTCCACAGTATGTGCCCCCTTAACATAACATGTGCCCATCAGAGTGCTCCCTTAACATAAAAGATGCCCATGAGAGTGCCCCTTAACATAAAATGTACCCATCAAGGTGCCCCTTAACATAAAATAAGCGGCATGCTGATGGGCACATTTTATGTTAAGCGGTACTCTGATGGGCACATTTATATTAAGGGCCACTCTGATGGGCACATTTTATGTTAAGGGGCACTCTGATGGGCACATTTGTATTAAGGGGCACTCTGATGGGCACATTTTATGTTAAGGGGCACTCTGATGGGTACATATAATGCAGGGAGCTGGGCCCAGGGGCAATATGTATTCCAGTGTGGTGTGTGTGTGCTGCTGTGTGGACCAGTAAACCAAAGTTTGGGGCAAGGGGGGGCAGGTGCAGGATGAACAGAAAACTGCACCCAGGGCCATGTGAACAGGGGTGCCTGTGAGCAAGGGGTGGCAAAGATGCTATCTTGCATGTATGAAGGAGTATGTGAAAGAGTGTGTAACTCTGTTACATTAACCAAACCTGAGCCTGCCAGTAACCACCATGTTGAAGGAGTTAATATAGCCTGTTACTGGCCACCATTGTTGAGGGGAATACTACAGTCTGCCACCGACCACCAATGTTGGGGTTTTGCTACAGTCTGCTACTGACCACCAATGTTGGAATGATTAATACAGCCTGCCAGTGAACACAAATGTTTGGGGGGGGGGGTTTACAGCTTGCCACTGATCACCAGTGTTGGAGGGGGTTGATACAGCTTGCTATTACCCACCATGTGTTGGGAAGGGTGGTTAATATAGCCTTATAGTCATGTGTAGAATGAAAAAAAAAAGTGTTTATTTTCAATTCGTTATTTAAGTAATTTTGTTTAGTTAAATTAGTTTCATTCATTTTCAGAATTAGTTTAGTTTAGTTTTATTTATTTGTTTTGAAGAAGAAAAAGAAGAAGAATTCCAGTCCGCTATGTATCTATTTGTATCCGAATAAAAACATCTGTATCCAATTTTTTTACCGTTGGTGGTAACGTCGGCCTATTGAATGACCGATTTTTCGTTTTTTGGGTTTTTTTTTTTAAACAGACGGTTTTTGACCCATCTATGGCCTGCATAACAAGCCAGAACAGTACAAATACCCCCCCCCCCCCAAATGACCCCTTTTTGGAAAGTAGACATTCCAAGGTATTTAGTAAGATGCATGGTGAGTTTTTTGAGCCTGAAATTTTTTTCCCACAATTCCTTGAAAAATGAAGAAAGTAAATAAAATTAGTTTTTTTTTCACACAATTGTTATATTAACAGGTTATTCTTTTCACACGGCATATGCATACTTGCAGCTTCACCCCAAAGCACATTCTGCTGCTCCTCCTGAGTATGGGGATACCACATGTGTAAGACTTTTACATAGCCTGCCCACATACAGAGGCCCAACATCCAAGTAGGACCTACAGGCGTTCTGGAGGTATAAATGACACATTTCTGACTACCTACAGTATCACATTTTTTAAGGCCGTGAAGCACCAGGAGAATGGAATTACCTACAAAATGACCCCATTTTGGAAATAAAACACCCCAATGTATATTCTACGAGGCACGATGAGTCTTTTGAACATGTCATTTTTTTCCACAAGTTTTTGTAAAATATGGAAAGAAAATGAAAAATATATTTTTTTACACAAAGTTGTCCATTTATAAGATATTTCTAACACATAGCATGTACAGACCAAAAATTACACCCTAAAATACATTCTGCTTTTTCTCCTGAGTATGGGGATACCACATGTGTAAGACTTTTCTACAGCCTGGCCGCATACAGAGGCCCAACTTCCAAGTAGGACCTACAGGTGTTCTGGAGGCATAAAGTACACATCTCATTTCCTGACTACCTATCACATTTTTGAAGGCCCTGGAGCACCAGGACAATGGAATTACCCACAGAGTGACCCAATTTTGGAAGGAAAACACTCAATGTATATTCCACAAGGCATAATGAGTCTTTTGAACATGTTATTTGTTTCCACAAGTTTTGCAAAATGTGGAAAAAAATGAAAATGAATTTGTTTTACACAAAGTTGTCCAGTTGCTTCTCACTAGTGGGCTCTGTGAGGAGAGGCAGAGCCAGTCAACAGACTGGCGGCTTTGTTGACATCACATGATGGCTGTGATTGGGCACAGTCATCATGCGATCAGAGAGCCCTTCTGCCCTGTGGCATTGTGCTGTTTCCAAGAGACACAGGCACTCCGAGAGCTCGCAGCTGAGTGGTCACATTCTGAGGGATGTTCAGGAACATCCACTCAGAACAGCGAAGATCTCACCCGGTGGTTTATGTGCAGAGGCCAGGTGCGAAGCAGTTAAAGAATTTTGATACACACAAACACAATATAATACCCACATTTTTGATAAAACAGAAAATATGGTGTTGCACAAAGTAAATAGATACCATACATGTCACGCTTTAAAATTGCGAATGCTTATGGAATAGTGCCAAACTACAGTATTTAAAAATCTCCATAGGCGATGCTTTATAATCCTTTACAGGTTACCATTTTAGAGCTATAGAGGAGATCAGGTGCTAGGATTATTGCTCTTGCTCTGACATTCACGGCAATATTTCACATGTGTGGTGCGATCGCTAGTTACATATGAGTGAAATGAGACCAATGCATTGGATACACCCAAATTTCCGAATAACGAAAAAGTCATCTGAATTTCGAATCGGAATGAAGAGAATCACACATGTCTATAGCCTTATATGGACCAACAATGTTTTAAGGAGGGTTGTTATTACATCCTGCCACTGACCACCAATGTTAGGGAAGTTCACAGCAGCCTGCCACCGAGCACAAATGTTGGGGGTTATTACAGCCTGCCACTGACAACCAATATTGGAGGGTATACAACAGCGTTGAGTACTTTGACCCCCGAGATAAACCATACCACGTCCCAAATTGAAAGCATTTCACAATATAGGTTTGGAATGGGACTTTTAAGGCACAGATATCAGTACACAGATTATAGAAATCACACAAATAATATTCAACAAATCCTATTCAAATCCCATAAAAACAAGAGAACAGGTATAATAGTTGTTATGATGCAATTTGGGTGCAAGTTTCTCATGTTCTAACGTGATCATGAAGAGAATATCTCAAAAAACACATTGGAACATAAGAACCTTGCACCTAAAATGGCATCATGATCACTATTATACCTGTTCTCTTTTTTTTCTATGTGATTTTAATGAGATTTGTTGAATACAATTTGTGTGATTTTTATCATCTGTGTACTGATATCTGTGCCTTAAAAGTCCAATTCCAAATCAATTTTGTTAAATATTGGGGAGTATTATAGCCTGCCACTGAACACCAACACTGGGAATATTATAGCCTGCCACTGACCACAATATTGGAAGTATTATAGCCTGCCCCATTGGCCACCAATATTGGGAGTATTATAGTCTTCCACTGGCCTCCAATATTGGGGGGTATTATAGCCTGCCACTGGCTACCAAGATTGGGGGTATTTTAGCCTGTCACTGATCACCAATATTGAGGGGATATTATAGCCTAACACTGAACATCAATGCTGGGGATGTATTATTACAGCCTGACACTGATCACCAATTTTAAAGGCATTATTACAACCTGTCACTGACCACCAATGTTAGGAGGCTATTATAACCTGCCACTGACCACCAATGTTGAGGAGGGGTTGGTTTTAAAGCCTGTCATTGGCCATCAATGATGATCGGTTACTAATACAGCCTGCCACTGACTACCAAAGTTGGGAGGTTTTACTACCAAAGAAGGAGGGATTTTTTTCAACCACTTATACTAATGCTGGGACTTACTAGAATTGCCACTAGCTCCAATGATGGGACTTTTTTTACTCTGATGCTAAAACTACAAGCATTGTTCTTCCAATCCATCACAACCCCACATTTAACTAATGGCTTGAGAGCCAGAAGAACACTGGAGCTCCGGTGGTAGAAGAGAAGGAAACATCTTCCAAAAGGGCACAGGGCAGATCGGGACTGACTGAAGAGGAGCCTTAAGCACTCTGGAGTCAGTAGGTTTATGGATTATTATCTATAACACTTCTGCACTCTCCTTTTACAAATTGTACAATATAATAAGCTTTTTAACACTTCAATGTCCCATAACAGCAAGAGCAAATCTATTTTATTAAACGCAGCTGTAAATGTTCCTAAATTTCTTATAATCTTGTGCAATATGGTGCTTTCCAAAGACCCCCCACACACACACTTCAGTATCCCAAATGCAAATGTAGTTGTGGGAACTGATCTGGCAAAATATTCGCAACATGATTTTTTAGGTATTCCCAATTTTTTCTACAACTGGGTCAATGGTACATAAATACTTTTACATCTAGTTATCGTTTAATTTACTTAACAACATGTACCTGTAAAAGTAATAGTTTGGTTAGCTTTGTTTTGTTTAAAAACATTTATAAGCTGTCATTCTCCTTTAAATAACAAACTTACGAGCAACTCCACCCAGGAATACACATCAAGAATTTCCATTATTTAAGTAGTTTTATTCTACAATGATGTAGAGAAAGGAGTGATACATCAAAGAGAAACATAAATTCATGTCAACAAACAGGTTTATGATAGAATCATGTCAGAGAAAGCAAACCCAATGATGAGTCACACAGTGACAATTCAGATACACATGTTGGGAATGTAAAACACATCTAACTATGCGTAGGCAAATGCCAATCATTTCTACATCATGAGGATATGAGGATAGCTTCGCACGTGAAGCCAAAAATACACACTCTTTAGAGAACAGCAATAGTAAATGATTTTCCCTATAGGATTTTCCTGGAGTATATTTTCATGCTAGCTATTTTGAACCTTTTTTAACACATACATCCATGGGAGACCACACAGCTGTGAAAGTCTATCCTGCAGGTATATGGAAACCATCATGTTTCTACACACATTATTTAGCAGATAGTAAAAAGTAGTAGTAGTAGAAAAAATTGTAATAGTAGTAATGGAAAAAAATAGCAGTAGTAGCATAAAGGAGTAGTAGTAGTAAAAGTAGTAGT